TTAATAGCTGAATAGCTGAATATGTACGACGTCCATGAATGACAGATCTATAATTAATTATGTCCTCGATCTCGAAGATTGCAAATAATTCACAGCGACGCAAACACCGCGGCCTTAATCGTACATTTTGGAACATGCTTTTTAGAGAGCGTTTTGCCGTTAGTCGTACGAAGCAAGTTTCAAGCCTTTCGCGCAAAGAGGGAGATCCCAACGTTACACTTTTGTCCATTTTTCAATCCGACTCCCTTGAGAGCGTGACGATTTGATCGTCACAACGCAGCAGCGATTTCAGATCGACATCGCGCACACCTCCGAGTGCCCGTTTCTCTTTTTCTTTCCCGTAACGAATGTCCCTTATTCCGTAACACTCATCCTCTCACGAAAGTGGGTCGCCGGTAATTCTCAATATCGGCCATTCAGTCCCTCGTGTTCGCTACTTCACCGAAACAATTTGGCCGCGCGTGCCAAATAAATATCTCCCAATGAAGACGCGCGCGTGTCTTTATCGCGCGATACAACGTTTCGCACGTCGCTAATCGAAGACGATAACTATCGACTATCGCACCTGAGACACCATTCGCGCGAGTACGCATAAAACCGTCGCTTTCACCCCTTCCTCGTCGTCAGGCAGCTGTCATTAGAAACGGAAGTGCAAATCGACGAGTAGACGGCGTGGATGGGACGGATCTCTCGAGGGGATCGGTCGCGCCGACGTTGAATTTCGGGCGCAGTGGTCGTTCCCGCGAAAAAAGAAAATCAATGACGCGAAGATTCACACGGTGAAAAAATTTTGTGCTAAGTTTAACACATTTCACGTGATCTAAACGACCTATCCGAATTTTGTGCGTTAATTTAACATAAATATTATGTCACCGATAATGCGGAAAATATTTTCTTCAGTAAAATTAACATTCGTGATATGTCAAGTTAACATGTACATTTTGTTCATTTTTTAGAATTTATTTCAATTTTATTTTAATATTTATTTTAATTTTAAACCTACATTGTTTTTATTATCCGTATAAATTTATATATAAAATGTTTTATTTTAGAAATGTCTAATACCGTGTCAATGACAATATGTTAAATTAAATTAACACACGGATACGTTTAAAAAATTAATCCCGAAATGCCAAGGAGGACCGGTTTTAAAACAAGTACACAATGTTCTCTATCGTGTAAGTCGCTCGAGCGTTAATCACCGTTAATTCGAATCACTCGCCGGGACGAACAGGAACGTGGAATTGTCGCCGGCGCGGCCGGCGGCTCTCGGAAATATTTTTTTTCGATGTCAGATGTAATTTCTCGAGGACAGGTGACATCCGCCATGCGCGACATGGAATTTAGAGAAATTGTACGCGCGAGAGTCAATACACCGCGTACAATATAAATTACGCTCGCGCAGAAACGAATCGGCGATTGATGTTGTCACTTCCTGAGAGACAGAAGCGTCGCGTGAGTTGCGCGATTCTTCGGCGGTGCGTATTAAAGTAGTTGGCCCGTCAAACTGTTTTCATGGGAAAATGATTCTTTTTACACTGTTCTTTGATATTTATCCTATTTTTAACTTTTATCTTTAATTTCTCCTGAACCACATTTTAAATTTTAACGAGAAACTACATTATACAAAAATTTTCAAATTTTTGACCATTTATTTTGAAGATATAGCCATTTTATCGGAAATGTATAATTTATAGTAATACACGATGTATATACTTATATATACATATTAAAATATTTATATGCTACTTTCTATCATGCATACACTTTTATATTAGCTTAACTGACGTATAAATAAAGCATTAATATGAAAGTCCGTAATAATAAATAGTAAAACAGACATAATATATCTCTGTGTTTTCAATATTGTATATTTGTCTTAATTTCGTGGGTGTGCAAAATTAACATTTATTACTTAGATAGTTAAATAAAGCTACAAGAAAAGCTTTTTTTTTAATAAATAATAAACCTATCAAGGGTCCCTTTAATATTACTACTGAAAATACGGTATTCTACGAGCTAACTATCTTAATCGAAAAGATCCCGCGCTTCGGATAACTTTCTAGCGGGCACACAGAGGCGGATTTCGCGAAAAACGCGGAGGGCAAGAAACTCGCCCGTTTAAAATGCGAGCGGATGACAATCTCGCAAATGCGCGACACCGGTCGTGTAATTAACGTGAGAAAGTGTTCTCGCACACGAGTCGCGCTTATCTCGGCCGCGCGCGATCTTATCGCGCCTTAATGTGTCTCGTGTCGAAATTGTGCGCACACCACATATCGCCACATATTTCATATGCAAAATAACACTTTCGCCATTTTACCTTTTCCAGCGCGATATTACATAGATCACTCGATATTACGACGCCCGCGCTGCGCTTTCGAAGCAATTCCATATGATTTAATCTCAGGTGAGAAAGTCCACGACTGCAACCCGCAATCGTGTGGCGCTCCTAGCTGTTAAACGTGCTGTTATACAATCCATTCTTCCGTGAGATGCTCCCCGAAAGGGCTGATCTCATTGTCAGTGGCGGATGGATGGAGCGGCCTAATGACTGGTGTCGCGAATTTCCTTCCAAGCTGACGTCGATCGTCGAGTGGATGTAAATATAACGTTTTCGAAACGTTAAAAACGGGATAGTTACGCATAATCCCGAATAAGAATCCCGAAAATAAGAATCCCGAAATTTCAGAAATGAGACAACACCCTTAAAAATCTTAATCCCGAAAAATGAAAGCCGAGACAATCTCTCGAAATATTGGAAGAAAATAAAATCGTCTCGCAGGATTATAATTTTGTGAAACAATTCCAACATTTCGGAAGATTATCTCTGTATTCGATTTTGGAATTATGACTTTTCACGATGTTATTCCACTTTTTGAATTTCGACACGATTTTTTCGGGAATATTCGTGTCCACCGAAAATGGAAAATCGGCTGCGACGTGCTTTACAGATTGTCACGATCTATTTGGCGCGTCGAACGCATTATCAGGCCGCGCGTAGAAAATCTCGGACAGTTGCGGACTTTCTCTAAACAATCGTTACTCCGTTAATCGCGTTATCGAAAGTAAGGGACACTGAATGGCAATCATAGTGAAAACAGCTTATCGGTTAACCCGCTGTGGCCGCCGGTTAATTTCGCTTCTTCTTTTTACAGATACGATATCTACGAGCGACCGACCGAACGTGAGATTGTCACAAGGACGCGTTTTCGCGGGAGCACTGGACCTCGAAAAAATCGTACAGGGGAAAAGCAATTCCGTTGGTGTAACTCAATTTCCTGTCGCCTGGCGACCAGACGTAAACTCGGTTGTAGAGACGGAAAGATTCCGGTATTCGGGGAAAAAAATTAATATCAATTCAGGACTCATATTCTCATGCATAAATAAGGTGCAATAGTATCAAAAACATTAAGACTGTACTATATCTGTTGTATTTCTTTTTATTTTTATTTGAAAATCCTAATAAAAGATATTTTCTTTAGTTACTATGTACCTAGTTTCCTAATTACTATATATTATATACAGTACATCAATATACCGTATCAACACATTCTATGGAAAATATGAGTTAAACAAAGTGATTTACTCATCTTAAAGGCTAAATCCTCCTTTGGAGTTTCACATGAAAATTTCTTTTTATCTCTGTAATTGCTTTCAAATTACCAACTTCTCAAAAGTATAGAGTAATTTATTATTATTTATCGGGTAAGTTACTGTCAGGTTGGGTCATTTTCGTCTCAAATATTTTGCGAATATTTGTCTGCGTTAAAACTCGGCCGAGACAACTGGAAGCAATTAAATCAAAACTTTCTACAGGAAGTTTATCATATATCCTGTAGTTTCGGCCTAGTCCGCAAACAACGGAAAATTCAATCACACCGATAAGATTATTTCTTCCGTGCGGGAACTGTTTTCTTTTCCGTGTACAGATATCCGTGCGACTACTTGCTTCGCGCACGCGACGGGAAGATCGGTTTTGCGATGATCGATGCCGAGGAAAAGCTTCCTCGACACAATAGGATGTCACATTGGCCGGATCCGGAACAGCAATCGCAGAGAGAACAACGTGTTGATCATCATTATGTGCTAACCCATCGTTCGTGCAACGTCGCGCTCTACAGAGTGTCCCACGCTCTCTCTCTCTCTCTCTCTCTCTCCATCTCCGTTTCCCTTTATTCACGATTCTTCTTTCATTTCCCCGTCAACTAGCGATCGTCGATTTGTTCCGAACGAAAGTTAAGCGAAGCGCCGATCTCGCGAGGCCAACTGTGTTCATGACGATGAAGTCCGCCTCGAATCGAGACTTCGCGCTCTCTTCTCGTCCCCGGGGTTTTATTCCCGCGACGTCCTTACGTTGTATTCACCTCCGTTGAAAGACAACTGGACACAAAGACCCGGACACCCTGTATAGCGTGGCGCAAGAACCTGGCGATGCTGCGCGCGTAGTCTGTTGACCGAGAGTAAAGCCACGGCTCTCTCGAAGCAGAGGAGGAGCTCGGCTGGCCGACTTCTTCCTTCTCTCCGGTACGACACGCTTATCCACCAACCCGGCGACGGTCCAGTTTTCTCGGTCACGGTTGCACGAGAGGGAGACCCCGGGTTCCTACATTATCCCCACGTGCGGGGAGCTCTTGGTCGGCTACCTCCTCTCTTCGGGAGAGCTGACGTCTCGCGCTAGTTCGACGAGCGGATCGGCCACAGGTGGATTTCGCGAGCGGAATTCGCTACGGAGAGGTCCTTCCGGAGGTCCTGCTACTCGTGTCCCATGTACGGAGCACTTGGCTTCGCGAGACTAAGCTTCGATTAAAAGGGCGCACGAGCCACGCAGTGGTGACCGGTCGCGAGGGCGATTCTTCCGTCGAGGTTTTGATGACAGCATTTCACGGGCATGCGGAGAGCTTGATGAATAGTCGCAGTGACAGTGACAGTGTGATCCGTGAGAATCGCAGGGCGCTTGATATCGGAACTGTTGATAAGACTCGCTATCGGCCGTTACGATGAGGATAGGAAGGTCCTGCTGGGTGCTATTGGTAAGGTCTTCCCGCTACGAGATTAGTGGTCTCTCCCCAGGTAGCAGGGACTTCTGAAAGATGTCTTGGAGACGCCTAAAGGACACCCGAATGGTGTTTTTAAAAGAATTTTTAAACTTCTGCTACCTGGTCCCAGATCGCTATCCTGATTCCTGAATTTTTATCTTTCTATCTCCAGACTAGGCTTATTTAGATTTTATATCGTCGGCGCGTTCTCGTGAAAAACATTCAGAAAGAATTATAGAGAAACGCAAGCATCATATTACACTTTTATGTGAAAGATCAAATTTCTCTCTCCTCTTACAAGATAAGATTTTGTTAGGTGCTGCTATTAAAATTTGCCGCGCTAATCCCGGGGTACAAATAAAAAAAAAAAACAGTTATTCGGCAGATACTAATAACACATTTACTTAAATCTGAGTGCTTTTATTTAAATAGAAAAACATTTTCTCATAAAAAACTACAGTTTTAAGAAAAAAAATTCTTTCTCAGTGTAGAAGTAAAAAGAAACGTATTATTACTACTCGACCGAACAAATATTTTTTATTTTCTTAATATTTCTCTCCCTCGGTGCACGACTTAAAAATTAGAGAATACTCTGGACGCATACCTCGCGAAGAACTCACCGGGGGAATTTCGAACAAGAACGTCACATTACATTTCATGCAAGAGGCAACATTTCTCTCCCCTCTCGCGGGAAGTAGCGCGAGATGGAATTTTGTGTGGACCGTCAAACGGTGGATCGCCCGTTATCGGTGTCCATAATTACGGTCGGTCGATAATCCCGTTGTTGACTCGGCTCGAAATCACGTTCATAAACAAGTTCCACTTAGGCTCCAACTCTTCCGTCCGCATCGTGCGGATTGATCGTTCGTGTGACGCTTTCTGCGTCTCGACTCACCTGGTCCAAAGTGGAACAACCTTTGTCGCGGCCTTGATCCAGCGGCCGACCCGGCCGGTGGACGAGGAAAAGTAATATAAACGTTTCGAGCACGCGCCGGAATAGCGAGTTCGCTCTCTGCTCGCGTGCATACGCGCGCGACCGCCGGAAAGGCTTTTCATTCAACGCGATGAATATGTATAGATATTCGCGTGTACTTACCGTAATATGGGAGCGGTACTTACTTAAAGCACTCGGCCACCGTCACGCGACTCCGTTCATCTCTGAGTAACTGATGAATGCCAGTGAAATCGTCCGCTCGACTCGCTGATTACTGGATCGTTACGTCGACGATAAACGCCGAGAGCGCGGCAGGATCTCGGCTGCACGACGCAGGATCAAGTGGACGATCTCCCGCACAGATCTACTATTTCGTTGAACATTGCGATTAACTTTCATGTAAGCGAACCCACGATGGCATTCCGCGCTTCCTGCGGCGGCTCGACTTCTCGCGTTCCCGCGAGATGCAAGGCATAGTTTTCATTAGGGAGAAAATCACCGAGGAAGAATATTAATCCCGTGTCCGTCGGTTTGTCTCATTAATTATTAAGGCGCATCGCAGCAATTAACCAGCGTCGATTATAAGTCCGCCGATCCGTCCCACTAACGTTGATGAGACCTAAGTATCGATAAGTATAACATCGCGTCCTAACTCATTAATCCGCTGCGGGACATAAATTTATAAGAACCGTCCCGCGCGCCCGCGTTGACGTGTGACGACTTTCGTCGTGCGATCTCTTCGCGGCCCGTAGTAATAATTGAGTCGCTTAGTTTAAGTAATTAAATTGGAGCCCGCCACCGTTTATCACGTCGTCCAATTATGGGCCGGCCGACTATTAAGAGTCGCTCTGAATGAAGCTGACGGGCATTTACTTTCACTAAAAGCCGCCCGAGTCGCGCTGAAATTCTGCATGGCGCATACAAGTATAAATTACGCGAGCGCGAGTCATTTAATTCGGAGCGACCGTTCGACTGAGCGAGGCGGATTCAATCGTTTCTCCCGCGCGACGGGATTTTTCGCGAGGGGGGAGGGAGACTCTTCGGTTTTTTCTGCTGAATGCCATACACTGAGAGAAATCCCACTAAAATCATATGTCAATTATAGTCATCTTCGACCCCAACTATAGGCTTTGAATCAAAAAATAGTAGCGATAATGTCCATGTCAAGTTATCGCTACTGTATATTCATAGTTAAAAAAATGTATACTTATACAAATTTATATTAACATATAAATATATTAGTACACGGTAAAAAACATTTTGTGCTTGTGTTAAAATAAAACTTTATTCAAATTTTTATATTAAACGTTTAATATACTCGTGTATTAATTTAACATATTTAACATATTGCGTTTATAAAACAATTTACAAAGTATTACAAATTTATTAGAAAAATAGTTCTCCTGACTGTATACATATCATTCTTTCATTCTCATGCGATTATAGTTACAAGTACAAGAATGAGTACAACAAATTACAAGTGTAATATAGTATAGTATAGTTACAAGTACCAACAATTTTTTTTTTCAATGTACATTTTTCGGTACAGTAATGGGATTCCTTTTGACGATCGAAGTAATTGAAACAAAAATAATCAATAAGGTGAGGTGATCACCAGGTCGACCGACATTAGAGACAGAAAAGTAAACAAATCGTGAATATACATATGTAATGTCAAAGCGGAAGTAGAACCGAGCCTTTCTTTTTCTTTCTTTACTTGGCGATTGCACAAAGTTGCGTAGGGCGGCTCCCGCATGCCGCAAAAAACGCGCGTTGCAGTCACAGCGTCGCTTCCGGTACAACGCAGGTAAACCCAGCCGTTGTTTCCCGGACGGCTCTCCCCCCCCCCCCTTCTTTCTCATCGTCCTTTTTTTCTCCTCCTCGTTCTCCTCGTGGGGAGGAAAAAGGAGAGAAAAGAAGATCCCTCGCGCGCGATAGGCGGTCCATGCTCTTGGCAAACAAGAGATACGCGTAACGTAATTTACGCTTCCTTGCGGTTCATTCTCCGGCTATGTATAGCACCGCGCGACGTTGCACAATCGTTACGATTGTTCCTTTCCGGAAGTTGCATTTTATTGTCCCCTTCTTCTCGTTGGATCGCGCGAGCGCGCGCCGTTTTCACTCGCGTTTCATTACAAACGGTCGCCCCGTGCGACGGCCGGCCTAATTAGCGATGACGGAAATTGTTTAACATATTATGTTATCCGGCGACTTGCGAAAATTCGCTTTCATACGTTCCACGTTTTGCGCCTCGCGATCTTAGGTCCGCGGTTAATTATTGCTTCTCGTATCGCTTGGGATCGCGGTGTCTCCCGGCGAAGTTCTCAGCTCTCGTCCCGTAAACTTCAAATAGCCTTCAGCCGTTTGAATCCTAATTTCCCGGAGCGTTATGTCATGTATACCCTGGATTTCCATGTAAACATGACGTTCTTGAAAATTTCACTTCTTTACGAAATATTCGATAAATTTTAGAACTATCTTAAAACTAATGCCAACATCTGTAAATTTTTGCATTAAAATACCGTGAACAGATATTGTAAAAAATTTCGTAAATTAAATATCCCAAAGATCTGGAATGAATATCGCGTCACTGAAAAATAACGGATTCAGTGTTCATTTGAACACAAGTTAATCGTTCAATTTGGACTAGGATTGAATTAGTAAATAGTCCTTGCGGATCAATTGGTCCTTAGCCTTTCTAAATTAATCAGATCGCCGTTTGATACATAACGATTATGTATAATGCGAGTTTTTTTTGCTCATTAGATAGTCGCGCTACTGTCCCCGATCAACGGCGAGGAGGACGCTGATGAGGTGAGCGATGACGGGAAAGCTCAAGCGAAGATATCGACGTCGCTCAAGCTCGTCGACGAGGAGGACCAAAACAGAACCGATAAAGTAAGAGAAGCATAATAGAACGGACGAAAATTTTTGTTTTGTCCGTTTCGCGACTTCTCCTTTCGTTATTTCTACTCTTCCCCTTTCTTTCTCTCTCTCTCTCTCCCTCTCTCTCTCTCTCTCTCACACTCTCTCTTTCTCTTTCTCTCTGTATTTTCAAGCTTGTTGATCTCACTGAACCGCCTCATCCTCTTTTCTTCCAGGCAATGAAGCTGCCGGAGAAGCAAGAGCAAATCGGCGAGCAAATGCAGCTGGCACGTAGCGTGTCACCGCCGCCGCAAAAATTGTCAATGGCGGCATTAATCGCCAAGAGAACGTCGAACAGCGACACGACTTCCCCGTCGCTCGAGGAAACGCGTCCCCCCATCGGCGGCAGCAGAGCGAACGTCAGCAGGGAACTCATGTTGCCGATCAACATGGACATCACGAAGATTATATCCGATGATTCCGCCGAGGAGACTGACGAAGAGGAGGACGAGGACGACGCGCCTGAGGCGCTGCCCGAGGTTAGTGAAACATTAGTAACTTGAGGCGCTCCATAGATGTCTAATCGCCAACGAGAAAGGGAAGAGCAATATTTTACATACGAGGGTGAAAACAAGGGAAAATTGATGTATTTGTACTCGGGCATTTCTCTCCGTCGCATATGGAAAAAAAAATCGACTGCACGGTAACAAGTTTTTTTAATTTAATAACGACTATTCAAATTTTTGTGTTAATTTAATACGAGGTGAATATGTTGAAGAGTAACACAAATATTATCTCAAAAATTGACGCGAAATTAATATTCATAAGATTTTAGTTTATACTGAAAAGTATAAAATGTGTTATTTTAATACACGTTCAATATCAATTCAAAATGTTGAGATAACATTAACATAATATGTTAAATCAGCACACGGGTATGTTAAAAATTTAAACAAGCACCGATTTTAACACAAGTACAAAATGTTTGTTATTATGTGAATTTACCCGACGGTGAACAAATCGCTCTTTGACTGAAGGAAACAGAATTTCGGGTTTTTATGAACCGGATCCAGTTCTTATAACCAGAAATTCCGTCTCCTCCGACCGAAACATTGCCAGGTGAATCGAAACAAACCCTTTTTTCCACGTGGGCAAATCGTTTAGACAACCACGTGGACTTTTTTCCCGCCGGCGGGCACAGCGCGGTAGAAAGTCGCGTTTAACACGACCATCTGTCATAAATTTCAGCGGGATTTATCTCCCGCGGTTGAATATGTAGACGCGTTTCCCTCAGCGGAGATGTTAGAGCTTCCGGTGTGATTCGCGAGCACCGAATTTCATCTACAAGACGGGCGCCATAAATTGAAGTCGCGCGGCGATTTCTAAATCACGAAGGCGAAGTCCGAGACGTCGTCGCCATCGCGTACATTTTATTTGAAGATCGTCCGTTATAAGTTAATCATGCAGATTCTTAATCGCGATACGCGGAATTTTTTACTTGCCATCGACAGCTCGCTCAGTCGCGAAACTCGTATTATAATCACGCTTAAAGAAAATTGTTTTGTCTGCTGTTCAATTTTGTAACGTTTTAATTTCATAATTAACCGTTCCCTCGCGTGGTATTATTCTCTTTAAAAAACACATCGATAGCTTAAATAAAATAAGATTACGCTTTGAGGTCTTCAGACTGGTGCTTTTCGGCCGATAGGGTGAAAATCGTTACTTCAAAAATATTATATTTTTACTCATTATAATGATATATCATAAATTTGAATCTGGAACATATTACACAACTATATCCGGTCGGTAATGTGTTACGCGGTGTTCGACGCGTAAGGTTTATTCAGCATCCCCGTCTGCAGCATCCCCGTGTCCGGCATTCCCGGGCCGCGTGTCTACGATTTAGAACGAAGCCGCGTGGACCGCGCGCATCGCTCGCGCGGTTTCACTCGTAGCCGACGGCCTTCAAACGGCACCTCTTATGCGAGTACTTTCACGCGTTCGATATATTTTATTACGACGCCTCGTGGACCGTCTGGTGAATCTCGAGTGGCGGCGGTCGTGTCTGTGTACGCGCCGTCGGATATTCATCGCCGCGCGAGAACACGACTTTCCATTCGGGACATTAATTAGCGAGCGAGAACTGGACTGCCATAGGCGGATGTGGATTTATTCTTCGCGTAGATCAACGACGATAGCGCGATGATACAGTCGCGGGCGGGACGGGGTAATTGGAGAATGGCTTGTGTGAACCGTTGTTCTCGTTGCGGAGACATTTCCCGAAAAGCGGAGAAATTTGCCGAACAGACGCATCCGCGATAAATTCAAGGCGATATTGAAGGCGCATGGAATTCAGGTCGATAATAAAATATATAATTTGCGAGTCACTGTGTGCGTACACATATACAGTACTGGTGCATATAGCCTTAATAAGCAATTTAGAATCAGGTCACTAGTATTTTCTAACCGTTCGTAATTTTTTTTGGACGTTAAGCAAAATTTAGCTCTTAATGTGATTGATGACTTCGATTGGTATATTATTTTTAGATCTATTAGTGGTTTATTATTTTCGGTCTCTGTCAAAGATCTGGATATACACTCCGATCGCAAACAATAAAATCATTAAATACTTGCTAAGAGCTGGCTTCCGCTGAACGCAATCACTGTGCCAGATAAACCGCTTTGACACATCGTTCCCGTTTTTCTTTGATTACTCGACAAACAATAAATTGATTGTGCGTACGATTAGAAAACCCTAATGGCCTAGTTGAGCATGACATGTTAACTTTATCATGCCGGTCTGCGTACACAAAACACTCGGTGCGGGGTGGTGTTCCTCTTTCGATCTAAACGATCATTAAGGTCAGCGCACACGGACAATACTTGCGCGCGCTTATAATTATACGGCGAATATAGTTGTTAAGTTCACAATTTTCACACGGCAAACCGCGATTAGGCGTTTATCGCGTCTCGTTACCGATAACAAATTACCTTGTAAGTTTAATAAAAGACTTTATTCGCGGATTGTACTTTTCAACCTCCGCAAGGCAGATAAATGGGAAAAGAAATCTTCCGACGGGAGAATTCAACAAAAGTTCTGATCGAATCGAGCATAGCCGGAACATCACAGTTTTGTGGGAAGTTCTATAGTTTGTATGTACGTGTTGATTCCTAATTAAAGGCCCAGGAATTGCGAATGATGAGGCCACAAGATCGCCGACGGCCACTTCCCATGAAACCTTTGCGACCCATCAGGCCGTCTCCACCGAACAGGAGGAACGTTTACACAGGTCAGTTTTCCGCGAAAGTCGACCTTCGCAAAAACTGCGGAATTACATCTAGTTGATTCTAGCACTTTTTTTCTATGCGCATATAAATGGCAGCATCGAATCCTAAAAAACAGTCTTAAAAATGTTGCAAATAAAGCGATAGAAATCATAGCTCGTTACTTCTTGGATAACGATAACGATAAAGAGTTACTTCTTTAAAGTGACTACTCAACCGTGATCAAACGCGTTTAATGAAAGATGAGAAAAGGAGTCGCGAGATGAAGAAATGGATCAATCGACTGATCGATCGATCACTTTCCAGGACCAACAAGGACTCCCGTGATACGGTCGTCTAAGCGACCGAACGACTCGAAGAGGCGACCCACGGAGAACGAATGTACTTTCTTCACGAAGACGGTGTGTCTCGAGGCCAACGATTATCCGCAGTGAGTCTGTCCCGAACTTTCGTTTCCCCGTTGAATTAATGACGGACATTGTTACGCGGCAATTTGCATATCGGCGAGATTAAAATCTTCCGGGCCGTCTTAATTGGCGAAGCTGCGGCGAAGTTTTCACTTTTCGCGCAGCCTCCCCCCTCGGCAAGTGCGACGACGGGCGTCCGAGGATTTTGGAGATAAATAAAACGAAGCACACCGAAGCGCGCGCGTCTTCGAGATCTCTCTGACGTTGAATTAATTGAGCGGTAAAAGTTTTTACGCGCCAGTTATTTACTGGAATTGAATAATTTGCAAAATCACTCCTGCGCTTCCTTCTCGAGGATTATCCACGGACGAATGGCTCGTCCGTTGGATTAATCTGAAAACTGGAATCGATGTTATTCCCGAGACCTCCTCTCGCGTAAATGGCGGGTACGCTGTGGAAGGAATTTTCCGCATCGGTGAAAATACCGCGCGCCGTTACTGCTCGCTTTCGCGCGTGGACGCTTAATAGCGGCCTTAACTTTCCAGCGAGGCGATAATAAGGAGTTTAAGGACCAATAAGGAAATGGTGGCGGCACTGCTGACCGACTATAAGATGCCTGATTACGGAAGCGCGGAGGAAAAATTGCCGATCCCCCTGCCGCTGGAGAATAAGTTTGAAACTCGCTACGAAAACAGATACGAGAATAACGAGATTAAAAGGTGAATAAGAAGGATACATCCGTTTTCTCTATTGCCTTTCATTAATGTCCGTTACTTTTCCAAACGAACGGAGGAACTGGTTCGTTAATAAAGCAGGTGTGGTAAGGTAGAAAGGAATTTATTTTTCGTTACTTCACGCGTAAATTCTTGATTTCAGACGATCGGACAATCCTTTCGACAACGTGGAGGAGGGTTTCACCTGTCCGTCAACTGTCAAGTATGCTCGTCCGCAATTAGCGAGAGCCGCTTCCGGAGTCTGGAAGTACATAATAAACACCGGCGAACACACCCAGACCTTACGACTGGAGAAATGCTCGTAAGTGTGACACGCGATATATTATAACGTCCGAAAGAAGAGATGTAATTTATTTGGGCATTAATTACCGGATTATGTAACATTCCGTCGTGAGCGATTAAATGAAGTATGCATGTTCGGTGGCGAACCACGGCGAAGTTTGCTCCGTCGTGAAGTACGAAATATGGCTTGCGACGAGAAACTTAATTAGAGAATAATTAATCACCAGTTGTGGGAGACGGGCGATACACGACGAGCGATGAATCGAAAGGAGAGGGGAGGTCTTGTTTCTTTTTTCTTTATCAAAAGATCAATTATCTTCCCGATATTTTCGAATTCAATTAATCCCAATCACACTATTTGAGGACAAACAATATTATGATTTTGCTTAAAAAAGATATCCTGTAATATTTTATTATAATATATCACAGATTAAGTATAACATATACAGGGTATTTCATAATATGTGGGCATAATTTCAAAAAACGAATGTGTTATTTTTGTGTCGTAAATTTATTTTTCAAATTATGTCCACACATCGTGAAACATCCTGCATAAAACCTTTTAAATTTCTTCCTAACAATAATCGTTCTCTGACGTTTCCCCATCGCAGCAATCCACAGTCGAGCTGTTCGTTCATCTCCGAGAATTACCGCTCCTCCTGCGTGCAGATCTACAACTACCACCGGCTGCTGACGTGGGACCAGAAATTGGGACTTCACATGGACATTTTCAAAGTCCCGACTTGCTGCAGCTGCCACGTGCACGGTTACGCCGAAATCTTCCCGCCTCATCAGAAGGACCCACCGATGAAGTCCAAGGAGACATTCCCGGGCGCAGACTTCGTCACTAACGACCACAAGGATGACTTCCAGGACCTCAGCAAGCCCGCGCTGAATCACATCAACAAGTACAATCCCAGTGCGAGCTTCGATTCCACTCTCGGTAATTTACCTAAGAGAACATCACTCGACGTCGGCCGACGATGCCGAACGATCTCGATTGACGTGTCCTCGCTTCTCTGCTTCAGTGTCCAGCAACAAGAAGCCGGTGCTGGAAGTCAGCCCGAGCAGACCGAGCTTCACCCTCCCAGGTAGAACCAGAACGAAGAAGCCCTCACCGGTCCCGAGGCCGTACGACAAATTGCCGCAGCAGCACGCGCCCAATACGCGAGCGCCGGGCTACAAAGGACCGCTGACGAAGGGCAGCAGGCCCACACGACTCAGCAGGCCGCCCTTCAGGAGGGAGTCCACCTCCCACGTCGAGGATTACACGGAGGCTCCCGGTAACAGCTCGGTCAAGAACCGGTGAGTGAAGCAGCATTTTGTATCGAAGCGATATACAAGCGGTGGATTCGACCCTACAATAAGCGACACGCCTCTTAGCTTACTTGTTCGTGGAGAAAAATCGTCTCGGATCGCGATTATTTAAGCGGATAGCAAACTTACAGTTTCCGTTTGAAAGAATGAAATACAGAGAGACTTTTTTAAATTAAGATTTTTTAAAATCAATTTTAAAGTCTGAAAATAATGTTGAACATAGTGTTGAATTAATTTACGAAGTAATGAAATTTACACTTATGTAGGTGTGAAAATTAGAATCGTTGATATTCCATTTCAATTTTTGAAACCAATTATTTTGACCCTCGGAACGTCTTAAAGATCGTTACAAGTAACATATATTTTTTTGCCTTTAATATATATGATATTATTTGTTTTTTAACGTATTGATTATTATTGTCATTGGATATGGGAATTTCAGATACAGTCAGCCGTACGACCAAGAAGTGGACACCTCGTTGAGGCTACAAAATGGGGGTTTCGACGAAGAATATCAGGAACCGCAAAAGAGGATCAACTACAACTACCATCCCATCATAGACTTCTTCAAGCCAGAGGCTTCCATGCTGCAATCCGTCGAGCCGCAGCATACCAACCAGCCGGCGACAATTCAAAATGACAATAACGCGTGGAAACCGATGATTACTTAGAACGTGAAGTTCCAGTTCGGAGTACCTGACATCCTACTTCAATGATGATTTGAAATCACATCGTTGTACGACGTGTTTTCAGAATTTATCTCCACGATGGTAAGAAATTATTTGTCCTCGGAGAAACATATCAGGTGTCCCTTGATATGAAATGTCTGTAGCAAAAATATTTATCTTCACTTTTTAACTCTGAGCTGAGAAGCTCAAGGAAGAAACAAGTTCGCAGCGTAATTAAGATTTATAAGATATCGCGTATGCTAGTTATAAGCGTTAAAATTTTATCCTGTAGCTGAAATTTACTTAGTCTCGATTTCATCTCGAAAACACAATTCGATTAGACATTTCATCGTAGGACACTAGATACGTGTAAAAAAATTTAAATGGGTATTCTGTCCAATTTGTTTTTCCGCATCGTTAATTATTGCATTTAATTATATCGTCTAATTACATCTGTCACTCAAAGACTTGATAGATAATGATATGTTTTTATGATGTATCGTTCGAAGGGGGATCCTCTGTATAGTAATAAAATAAGAGTCAGAATAGTTCTTAAAAAATATTCGTAGATATATATGTAGTCGTAGATATATACTTAATTGAGTATTATGGCCATGATGGGCAGATGCAATGACCGTTCTTTCTTTTCTTTTACTTTAACATGTTCTATATTACGTTCGTTTGGACTTTTTATTTATTAGTCGTTAGTTCTACAAGTTATTTATAAATCACACTTAAGGATTTTTTTTACAATATTAAGAAATCTTTGAATAAAAAAAAGATAGATGCGTTTCTTTACACGTGTTTTCCTGTATGTTTCGAGATTGAAAAAAAGAATAACAATTTTCCTAATATATTTTAATAATATTGAATGCAACGAAACTTTTTGAAATCATGAGGTAGATATAAAAAAATGTAAAAATAATGCGTAACGTAACCCATATACATAATATAAAAAAATATCATATAATGTATTTAATTGTAGTCCATATTAAAATTGTAATTATTATACATTGGATTGTATTATATGTTATGATAAATATCATATTTTATAATATAATCACTTTATTTTATACCATATTTTAGATCCTATTATGTATTATTTTATATTTGATTAAATTGTATTAAAATATAATAAAAGTAGCTGTGCAAAAGTTATATATGTTACTTTTTTTGTTATTTCCTTTTTCATGTCGTATTTCCGATACAAATCTAGAGCCAAGTTTCAAATCACTTTAGCCAAGACTCAAACCAATTTGGTTTGAGTCTTGTCTAGTGAATATTGGCCGTACAGTATGTTTCCTTGAGTTTCTGGCTATTGACATTTTTGTCTCCAAATAGTAGATTCTTTCATTAGATGTCGATTTAGAAAACGTGGCATATTTGCAAAATTTTTGAGTATGAATTGCATTAAGAAAATATTTAAAAAAATATATTAATATATAGAGAAAAGAATATTATATATATATATATAATTGAAAGAAAAAGCAAAAAAAAATTATATCAACAGTACACGGTGTTCCCAAGTGGTCACCCATCCAAGTACTAATCGTGCTCATCGCTGCTTGACTTCAGTGATCGGACGAGAACTGGTACTTTTAGCGAGATTTGACCGTTGACGAATATTCATTCTTTTCATTAATATTAAGACTAATTGCAATGGTATGTAGCAACTAGAATTAAGTGTTTATGAATAAAATACAATAGTCTACATGGTCTGTAAACTATATATAATATATGTAAACAATCTATGTAAACAATAAGTAACCTATTAAATGTTTTGGAACGGTTCGTCTTTTTCTTACATCTCATAAATCTTATTTTTATATTTTTATTTTCTTAAAAGCTCATAGGTAACCTGGATGATAACATTTATGTATTAATAACAAGCAGACGCATCTTTTATCATTATAAAGATATTTGAAATATGCATATAGTGAATTATATCTAATTTAACCTGTATCAACTTTTAAATGTTTGATATCAAATATCTTTATAATTATCTTTATAATATCGACATCAGATATGTGCGCTATTTTATAGCTTAAATTAATTTAAATTAATGTAGTGGAGACTCAAACCTTTTTAAATTAGTTTAGCCGAGACTCAAACTAAAATAGATCAAGTCTCAGCTAAACAGGTTTAAAATAGTTTGAATCTTGGTGAAAGCGATTTTATTAGTTTTGGACCGCAAAATTAGTTTAGCTGAAACTCAAACCATTTTGATTTCAGTCTTATCTTTGTATTTATTTCTTCATTCTGTTACGGTCTTACGTTACCCACTCTGCGCATTCTGTTGCCGGCTGGTCCATTATAATACCCTAGATTCACACTATTGGCGCTGATGTTTGCGCAGATACAATTCGATCCGTAAAAAGCGCGTTAATCAATACATTGTCGAAAGAACCTGATTAAAACATTTAACTGCCGACCAAATTGATAATTAACAAATTCAACATACTAATATACATACTCTACTGTATATGCGGCACTTGCTTAAAACTCGATCGAGTACTTAATGTACTCGATCATATGATTTATTCGAATTCATAAGAGATACTTTCATTGATGATGAGATTGTTCTCTTTTTTCAAAACTTATTTAATGGCGCGATACAGGCTGATTTTGTATTATGCTACATGTGCAACAGTCGATGACTGAAAGAGACAAACTGAGAAAAGAGAGAAAGAGAGAGATAGAGAAAGAGTTCAACATTTTAGTATCGGAATGCAGCCAATGCCAATAGCTTTCAGCATGGATTGTGCAGGATTATTATTTACCCGCCGCAATTTACTTCGATCAACGATCTGTGAATGCAGTTTCGCGTGCCCGCGTTTCGAAATCGAAAAATCCAGCTTGCTTCCTGTAACTCGCTTTCGTGCCAAGGTGACTGACCATCGGTCAATTTTCGCGGTGAATCGCGGATATCAGGATTCAGATTTTATGTGAAAACGAGGATGTAGCCCAACCGTGTCATCTTCGCACTAACGGAGAAAGTTGAATTTTTTTTCTTCGCCTGTTTCTTCACCGAAGACTTCCTCTCAAGGGTGCGGGCTCGACACAACAATGCAGAAGCAGGAAGAATTCTGATCTGGTTCTTACCGTTCGGTTTTTCTGGCCCAACTTCTATTAGCTTACTCGCGTTTCTGTTGCTCATTACACATCGCTCGGTGGGAAGAGAAAGTGAGACCGAATAAAGAAACGGGATTAACATGCGATAAAGCAGTTCGTTTTGCAGCTCGGTGTACTATTATTTGGAATTAGGATTTCACGCTGTGAGAATCGTGAAATGAATTTGACCACTCGTCGATTGGTCGTAATTTATTATGTGTTCGGATGCCGCTCAGCTTCGTCAGCTAAAGCTTCGAAGTAAAAGCGCGACACATCTCGTTGAGAGAGAGAGAGAGAGAGAGAGAGAGAGAGAGGGAGAGAAGAGTCAGCTTTCACATGAAGAAGAAGATGTACGACGTATAATAAAACGCGCATTAAACCGCGAATATATTTAAAAACATATTTCAGAGATGTTAAACCGAATTTATACGAGGACAGTTAAATACATGTAAGCGCCAGTTGCGTGAGCTGTTCTTACGATATGGCAACGCGTTATAGCGCGTAAAACCATCCTTGCCTTCGCGAAAGGCGCTACATTGCGCTGTGACCGTCGAAAGTTGGGAAAGGGTCCATGTTACCACGATTAAACGAACTTCGTTTTCTTCTCTCTCGAATTTGTACACTGAAAAATGAGTTTGGTTGGATCTGCCAAATAAAATAATTAATACAATAAAATGAAGTAATTAAAGTAATCTAATTAAAATAATTAAAGTGATCTTTATTTATAAGTAAAATAATTACTCCGATATTTTTTAATAAATATTTATTTGAACGCACTACTCCTTTTTTTTCTACTGCAGAAATTCTGTTCCCTTCAACCAAAACGCGTTTGCTTGTCTATTGTCAGGTGGATCCAATCGAATTCATTTCTTGGTGAAACCATGCTCGCATCGAGCGCGCGAACAACTAATGTCTAATAAGAAAAGACACACGCGTTTACCAGTTGTAAGTCCTCGAAATGCAAGGTTCCATTTCCACGACGCTCTTCTGCGACGGGCTCGTCAGAGCGAAGAAAGTCCCGGAGCTCGAACGACACGCTTCGCGGCCTAACGCGGAAAGACGCGGGAGACAATCGCCGAGCCGAGCGGAGCGCGGCGCGGCGTAGCCGGCGAAACGAATTCACAGCTGACTGATTGAAGTAAATCGTGCTACTTCGTCTCGTTCGAGATACCCCTGTCGAAATTTCGTTTCTACGTTAACCCCGCGAATTTCCGTCGAACTTGAAAGACCACAGCGGAGTCTCCTCGTGCCGCAAGCTCCATCTTGATTCTGCCTTCACCTTTCTTTCTTCTCGATTCCTTTTCTTTTCGATTCTTCTTCTTGGTTCAATCTTGTCGTGCCTAAACCTAAATCCGAATTTACTTTTAAGTACAATAAACAAAGCTAAATTTAAATCTCTGCTGATATGCACAATATTATTGAATATCTAATTACTATAATTGCCTTTAGAACACCCTTCTCTTTTATCCCATTCGACTCTTCAAGTTCCATCAAAATGTCAAATGCTAATAAAGGAAATTATAAAATAGTAAATTCTCTTTACGGAAGTTTGCTGTCTCATTTATCTACTTTAAGCCTTGTCGGATTATTTAATATATGCTTATCATGCCGCACTCAATCTGCAGTCGAGTAAGTTGCAATGATTGATGCATCGCTCACTAGAACTAAGGAGAAAGATGAGACGCATACAAAGTATCGGGACGACCGAACATTGAACGATTCTGAGGCAGAGGTCCCTCTTCACGTCTCAACACGGAGAAAACGACAGTGGTGACAGTAACCATTTGTACCACCGATTGTAGGGCAATCTCTTGTATAACGCTACATCCGGAGATTTTCCATCGATCGAGCCCCTTCAAGTTCCACGGGACTTGCAGAAATATTCGCGGGAG